CCTAAACCCTAAAGCCCAAAGCCCAAGAAGCCCAATCTTCAAATCCCTTGCTTTGGGGGTAGTTTCCCTGAGCCGAAGCCCTCAGGGTTTCCATATGCCACTCTGGCTATGGTACCCTAAGGGTCCATGTACCTGAATAGTAGAACATTGGCCCGAAAGTACCCATATAGGGACTACATTAAGGCCAATGTTGTACTATTTGGGTACATGGACCCTTAGGGGTATAGATGCTTTGTGAACTGTGCGTATAGGAACCCCTGCACAACCCTAAACCCTAAAGCCTCAAAAAGACATGGACCCTTAGGGCAAGTGTCCTGCACCTCCGCTGGATCTAGGACATTTTCAGGTGGGTAGTTACCGTTATAGGAGCTTTATAGAAGGTCTATATACCTGATAGACGCCTTATAGAAGCCCTATATACCCTAAACTCCCCACCTGTAGTACCCTAAACCCTAAACCCTAAACCCTAAATCCTTTATCCCTATACCCTAAACTCCCACCTGTAGTTTCCTTTAACCGGAACTTCCGACCTGCAGGACTCAAAGGGTCCAAAGTACCTATATAGTAGAGTGTAGGGTTTCCTACATAGTAGGTTTAGGGTTTGGGGTTTAGGGTTTTGGGTTTAGGGTTTAGGGTTATTATAGTTTCTATATTAGGAATCCTTATTATGATCTGAGAAAGTATCCCCCATAACAGTACCTAGGACCCCTTAGGGTAACTCAAGAAGGGGACGAGGTGAAGAACCACGAGGGCTTAGGGTTTTAGGAGTAGAAGAACCATGAGGACGTGAGTTGGGTTTGAGGGGGTTTAGGGTTTAGGGACTGGGGTTTAGGGATTAGGGTTTGGGGTTTAGAAAGGTTTGGTTTGGAAGTTGGATTGCAAGCAATGGAAGCTTGCAGTTTCAGCAAGTTCCCAAGACCCATCACTCGGGCTCAAGAGATCAGCCGTGGCTGACAGCAGGATTTGATGAGGCTGAGGCGGGTGGCCGCGGCTGATCGTATAAACCTTTGTGTTGCAGAGTCTGTCCATCAAGGATTCCTGTCAACGCATGAAATTTGCGTCCACTCGCAGGCCTTCGAGAAGGTCGACTAGCACTGGTCAGCGGCTCCACTTGTCCCGAATGAAGGATCCTGCCAAAGCCGGCAGAGCAGGAGTCAGGGCGAGATGACGACAGATAGCAACAGCCAGCGTGCAGAATGTGGAGAATAAGGGTTGCGACGTGTATGTATATTTTCTGCAAAGGTTCAAGCCGCCAGATACCTGAGAATCATCTCACCTCCCCTAAGGGTCCATGTACCCAAATAGTCTATACTCTGCCCTTAAAGTAGTCCCTATTTGGGTACTTTGGCTCCAAAGTATTCTCTACTGTGTGCGGCTCAGGATTTTTTAATGTGTCTCCGGTTTCAAACTCTTGGTATGCGACTGGCACACCTACGTCTCCTCCAAACCTTTCATACACGTTCTCCATAAGGCTCCATGTGCCCATAATACAAATAATAATGATAATAATAATAATAATGATCATGATAATATATATATATACTATGTTGTATATTATCTGCTATATATATATATATATGTATGCCTTCAGTGTGCTCCTATATAAGTACTTCAAAGGCTTCAGTTACTGTGCTTAGGCTATAATTAGCAGAGACATGGATCCTCGAGGGTCCAGTACGGGTCTCAGCTACCTGAGGTGAAGTCCTTCTTTTTTGCTCACACGTGCCCCCTTAGGGTTTAGGTTTGAGGTTGAAGGTTCGGAGTCTAGTGTTTAGGTTCGAGGGTTGAGGGCTCAGAGTTTAGGGTTTTGGTTTGAGGGTTTTGGTTTGGGTTTTGGGTCTTTGTCCTGAGGAGGTGTTCCCGACATCCGGCAAGAGGTTCCAAAATTGGGATTGGAAGCACGTGGGGTTTGTGAATGTAATGAATATAAGGCCCTTATAATCATTAGAATAGGGTTTTGGAGGCCCATTATACTACCACAGCTGTATATTTTGAGACCCCAATACCCTATTCTAATTATCAAGACCTCTACATTAAGTTTGTTCATCCCGGGTTTGAGATAAGCGCATCGAAGACGGATCTCGCAATGAGAAGTCGCTCCATTGGCCGAGAAGAGCGGTTCTTATATGAGGATGGCCTAGTGCAAGTAATTACTGAAAACATTCTTGAGGGTTCCTTAGTATGCTGGTACGATAGTATACCACTAACCCTGCTCCAACGCTTGAGCCCCAACGTGCTGGAACGAGCGTGATACCTGACGTTCAACGACCCTCCAACCAACCCTAAACCCCAATCCCTGAACCCCCAAACCCAATCCTACCCAGACCCTCCAACTACCCTCCATTCTTAATTCCCACCCAAAAAAAAAACTCACTATTCAGGACCATCACGGACTCTGTTAAAGGGCCCCGGGCGCGAATCCTGGCACAGTCCAAGTATCCTTGCTCCCCCGGGCCGCAGGCCGCAGCTCCTGAACCCATCAGCCATCGACAACAGCAGTAAGATAAGGGCCGAAATAGTTACCAACATTATTTTTTTTGGGGGGGTTCCTTGTTATAATCTACCTATCGTCTCCATTGTAGTTCCTTTTTTGGTTTAACCATTGATTTATTAAAACTTTATAAGATATCACCCAAAAAGGAACTACAATGGAGACTATAGGTAGTATAATAGGCCCCAAAACCCTCTTCTAATTGTTAAGGCCCCTATATTCATTTTCGGAGCTCCCTTGACCTACCAAATGTAGGGTCCCTATAAGTCTATCGTGGGGCTGACCACAAGATCCCACAAAAAGTAGGTTATGGTAGTGTAGGCTAGTTCTCGGGGAGATGTATAGCAAGGACAATGTTGGTCCGACTTGCGGTACTAACGGTGCTGGATCCCACTCAATAATAGCACATGAGCTTACATCAAAATTGGCCCCACCGATTTTAGGAATCGCACCTCTGTCTCGATAGGGAAATTAGATGGATAGATAGGTAGATAGAGCGACCGATAATGATAGAACGATTGCCCATAGATAGATTCTATCGTTAGATTTTGGAGTTGGCCCTGGTCTCGTAGGATCGATGTTTGTCAGTCAGATAACTTCAGCGGATTCCGAAAATGAAACACGCAATTCTTTTCAATGAAGGGTCCAGGCAGCTATAGCCAAACCCTGCAGCCTTTGCCAAAACTTTCCGGCATGCAAGTCGCACAGGTACCTCGTGTATGTTTACACCTTCTACATGTTTGCCCGGGCCTTTGGTGAACGGGACTCTTTTCGTTTTACGGATTAGGGCGTCTGGGGATTGTTTGCAACAAGTGCTCAAAGTACGACCGCCTTCAATATGCTTCTTCGACTTGTTAGAGGGTCGCAGTTGTGGTAGAGAGCCTATCACATGCCCCATACATACATATATATATATATACATATTTTTAATATTCACATGCACACATAAATATGTACACATACATACACGCATTAGCCGCGAAGTACCTATATAGGAAGTTCTTTGAGGCAAAAGTGTATATATGTGTGCATTGACCGTTTGGGTTCCTCGTAGTACATTCTGTGCAAAGATGCATGAACTCGAGATTCAATCTCAAAGCCTTAGTCCTGGTGCACCATGTCATGTCTGATAGGTCGTGGACGGTGAACCCTACACAAGACGCATGAATAATTAGTGCTACCTGTCCTTAGGACTCGTTATTGTTATTATTCGTCATACAATGATGAGGGTTGTTGTTACCAGTGTCTTTCTCATTTACTACTGCTCCGATTAAACTGTTATGATTAATATATTTTCAAAAAGGCCCTAAACCCTAACCCAAAACCCGTTTTGCAATTCTGGAGATCCCTCCGTAAATTGCATGCTTTGCTTTTTGATTTCTTGTCCAACTTGGCCCCTTTCCTAGCATCCTTTTCCTCACTGACGGTATCTAAGCCAGAACCCAGCAACCACTACCCCCCCTCCCCCTCCCCTCTCCCCCCTGCACCCTCACCACCTCAAAACATGCCAAAAGGCAAATAAAACGAAGACTCCCCGATATCTAAACTCTGCAAAGCTTACACCGGCATGTAAACCCTAAGCCCTAAACCACAGCGGAGATGCTTGAATTGATGCCTTTTTCACTGATGTCGCCCGAAGCTTTGGCACATCTAGGGTTTTAGGTCAACCCCGAGACTCCACTTCCCGTTGATCGGGGACGATCTTAGGGTTTTAGGGTTTAGGGTTTAGGGTCTAGAGTTTTAGGGTTTAGGGCTTTAGGGTTTTAGGGTATAGGGTGTTTAGGGGTGTCGGGTTTAGGGTGTTCGGGTTTAGCCCAAGGGGATGGAAGCCAGTAGGGTAGCATATGGGCCTTTAACGCGCCACTCGACTCCCCTGTCCGAGCAACAGCCGTAAAAAAAGGGAAATGAAAGTTAGCCATGTTTCCTTGCTAGTCCCTATAAAGTCTAGTACCACAATCTATCTAGCCCTACAGCCGCTCGAAGCCCTCAACAACCTTAAAGCCTCAACCCCGAAAACTCTAGTATGGGCTCACTGGAAAACTCCCGAGCCCTGTGTTCGGGCTTCGGGCATTAGCTTGAGGACGTTTAGCTTTGGGGGCTTGCATTCTGGGTCGAGATGGCAGTATCATAGGGTTTAGGGTTCAGGGTTTAGGGTTTAGGGTGTATCCGGGAATACTTGACACAAAGATCAGAAGGACTTCCCCCTGTTTGGGATTCTGAGTTGCGTGGGTTCAGTGCCTTCAACACAATGCTTGCTGGTTGCGTGGTTCGGGGGCTGGATGGCACATACTCCGGCCGCAAGATTAATATGTGTACGAATGCATGTATTTCTTTTTTGTACCATAGATGTTCATTTCGGTCTGAAGATGACGGGTGATCGTATCCTGTCCTTTTTTTGCTTCCTTCCTAGCGGCAAGACGTCAGCGAGGTCTTTGCATTCTACAAAGGCTACGCGCCCCTTCCTAAGCATTTGTGATGAGAGCGTAGGATTTAGGGCTTAGGAGGTGTATATCGTTTCTGGTTTGCAGCACAAAAGTCCAGCTTCGTGCTTAGATAGGTCCATTTCTGTTTATATAGGGTCCTATCAAAGATTGATGCAGGAATGTTCGTTCTGGGGGGCAAGAACGTGGGAATAGGGCTCTCTGAGGTTGCCACTACTACTAATAATAATAATAATAATAATTAATACTACTAATTACTACTACTAACTACTACTACTACTACTACTACTACTACTACTACTACTACTACTAC